ACAGCCTACATCCCCACTATTCGTTTACCCCCACTTTTATACCTAACTTCGAGTAAGAGAGGCCGAGGCCTTACCCTACCACTAACCTAAGAAGAGCCACAGGCATGCGCGCGCGGTTCTTTCGAATCGCAATTTCGTCTTCGGAATCATCTTCCAAGAAGTCCGGCCCTTCCTCGACTACTGCCATCTTTGATAATAGCACTCTTATGACGGTAAAAATGCTTTTGTTCTCTTTCGTCGAACGCTTGATTTGCCCAACCGCCCAAATGCCCAACCCACCATACCCCCTCCCCCCACTATCCCCCCATCTCAACCCACCACCCCATCCCATGAGTCTCAATCGTGCGTCTCACTGCGTTAGCTCCGATGTTATTCGAGAATTTCTTTTATTTTTTTCTCTCTCTCTTTCTCTCTCTCTCTCTCCCTCTCTCTTTCTCTTGGAAAATCGATTAGTCTTTTGTTTCTTTTTTCTTTTTTTTTTTTTTAATTTTTCTTTTTCTTCTTCTTCTTCTCCTTTTAATTTTTTTTTTTATTTAATTTTTTTTTTCTTTTCTATACATACTACCCGATAATTTTCAAAGGAATATTAAAATTTGATTGGATTAAACGCGATTTATAAGAAAATTCAAGCGTCGAGCGCGCAGATAAAAAGATGATTAAAAATCTTATCTCATTAATTTTATTTTTATTTATGGATATAAACGATATTCAATAGTAAATGCATATATATATATATATATAAAGTAAATGTGAAACCAAAATGTATAATACAAATATTAAATTTATGAATATGTTTCGCGAGTTTTATTAATATATTTGATAGGAATAATTAAAATCGACGTAATTTTATTTTAAATCAATTTATATAGTTAATAATAATCGAACTATATGATTTTATTATATGTCATTATATTTTATAACTATAAGCAAATTTATTTCCAAGGTGTTCGATATCTAATCATGTACGTACACATATTATAATTATTATGTAATATATGTTTCCTAAGAGACGTTCCGATAAGATAGCTTACGTAAGTTAGAAATTTATGATAGAAATGTTATATGAGACATGAATTGTCATTAAGATCCACTGCCACACACACACACACACATACACACATATATATATATATATATAGCATTTAGAAATATTTCAATGAAACACGAAGAAACGAAGAAATGTATTTAAGTAGATAATATATTCAAAAAGAGATTAGATAGAAAACTATAAATTTATAAATTTAACTGGTATGATGTCTGATATAAACGCACGAGAGTTATGTTACACGTTCTTTTCCAAAATAAAAATGACATTTAAAAAAACATTTTTATTTGTCAAGAAAATATATAATATAGAAATAAGCAAAATTATTGACTTTTTCGAAGATCGTAAGAGCAATGGATTATTCCTCGTCTAATACTTTTTTATTACATATCCGTCGTCATCATCATCATTATTATTATTATTATTATTATTATTATTATTATTATGATTATGATTAAATATGTATATATATATATATATATATATATATTTTTTTTTTTTCGAAGGGAAGAAGTCATCGATATTTTTGATTTATCGAAGAAATATTTTTCTGGATATCTTTTTAATCCCTCTTATGTTCCTTTATTCTTTCGCTCTAGAGTTATGAAGGAAGAGTAGCATCATACGGGGTAGAGAAGGATATATCATAGGGATATGACAGATTTACCTTTGTCGGAGGACGAAGGAAAGGACGAAGAAGTACAACTAGAAGAAGAACAAGAAGAAGAGGAAGAAGAAGAATAAGAAGAAGAAGAAGGAAGAACGGGAAAGCGAGTGTTCGTCGGAGATCATGTTGGAAGACTCAGAATGGGGTGCGAAAATGTCTCGACATCTGCTACCACCATGGAGAGTTTTGGAATTATTAATCCTGTCAAAAGTACTAAATCATATCTGGGAGAGTAGTAACAGTAAGTAATAGTAGTAGTGGTAGTAATGGTAGTAGTAGTGGAGAGAAGTCGCAATTTGAGGAAAAGAATGGTCGTCACGTCGTGAACGGCTGACCTTGATTTAGTGTTCTCTTAAGTGTTAGCGATTTACGAGCGATTAGGAAAAGTTTTCTATATGAGAAAGAAAGAGAAGAAAAAAAGGAAAAAAAAAGAAAAAGAAAAGAAAAAAGAAAGGGAGAAAAAGGAAAAAACGAAGAAAAATATAACTCAAATCTGAGATCAATGTGGCAAATCATAATTGAGACTGATATCGGATTATTCGAATTCCTTTAGTTGGAATAAACAAGTGTTAACAATTTCTTCATAAGATGAAGAATTACGTGGTAGTGTATTCATCGATTTAACACTACAAGCCCCTTACCTGTGATTGGTCCGAAACGATCGAACTTCTCAAAAGGTATTCTGATGGGTTGAGTAAAGCGGCTTGTAGGGTCAGCGGGCATTCCCTGTTGGATGTTGTTAACGCAGGTAGAAATGTAGAGAAAATATAGCGTTTAATGAATAGCTCGTGCACTGACCTCATCTCACGAGTAATGGAATTTCTAAACATGGATACACTGCCAACCTCTCTCCGCCTCTCTCTTTCTCTCTTTCTCTCTCTCTCTCTCTCTCTGTCTGTCTGCTTGTCTGTCAGTCTATCAGTCTCTCTTTCTCTTCCTCTTACTCTCTCTCTCTCTCTCTCTCTCTCTCTCTCCTGTTTCCGTTCACATATGTGTTTCTGTCTCCTGCAGCCTTTCGCCCATATATGCCTTCCCCTTTTTATAACCTCTCTCGTTCATCTATTCCACCCTAACTGCCTTTTGAAACCATCAAGAAAGTCCCATTTTACACCCTAATTTGATATCTACTGACTCCTACAGTGGTTCGTTTAAATACAGTACATTCCACAGTTCTGTTGTCTCTTTCCATAGTCTCTGTTTAGTCAGTAGGAATATATTAAAATCCAAGAAGCGAAGTATATTCACGATTTCATCGGAATTCCATGGAAAGCACTAAAGAAAAAGAAGAAAAGAAAAAACAAAGAAAAAAGAAAAAAAAAAAAAACAAAAAACAAAAAACAAAAATAAAAAGATAAGAATCAGTTAGGGGGATATGGGTGAACGAACAAACGAACTTGGAATATCCATTAATTCCGAGAACTCGGAAAAGTATAAAGTTCAGATAGTATCCAGAAATATCAGGGATTAATTTCAACGTAAACTCTATGATACTAAAATCCGTTTCTTAGAATTCTGTCATATTTGTTCGTTCGTTAAATAACATTAATCGTACGATTAAAGACAAACGTAAGAGATTTTGATTTTGACAAGACGGTCACGCGTTCGTTCGTATCATGAAAATTCACCATTTCGTAACCGCCTGTCAAGTTGCTATGGTCCATTTATGATTGGTATGATTCCCAGGTTGCTCGTTTCGAGTCTTCTCTCTCGTTACCCACCCTTTAAAACCTTCCCTCATCTCACCTCACCTCATCTCAACTCAACTCACCCAATCCATCCGATACTTTCTCTCCTTTCCACAATATCAACTAAAACAACGGTAACTCTCCGACAAACAACATCTCCGGCACGTACCATTCGTGTATTAATACACGAACGATCGCAGGGTGCTAAAGGCTCACATACCGTTTCTCATCGAGCTTAATTCGCTTCGTATCCCGAGATATATTAATTAACGATGGGACCGACTTGCAACTCAATTTAGAAACAAGCACCTTGTTTGCATACAACGGGCCAAGTAACCGGTAAACGAGAGAGATAG